AAGCAACATCAGAGGAGCAGGAAGGCTGACGTTTCGGGCCTAAACCTCCATTTCTGAAGAAGGGTCTAGGCCCGAAACGTCTGCCTTCCTGCTCCTCTGATGCTGCTTGGCCTGCTGTGTTCATCCAGCTCTACACCTTGGTATGACTAAATATTTACAATCTGGTTTCACAAATGCCACCTACAGATGACCAATGCTTTTATCAAACTGAATTAATGCTTCAAACCATTGTAGCAACCAAACAGGTTTAAGACTGCTGACATATCATTGTGTAAAAAATATGCTGATCTCAACATTTATGAAATTCTACATGTTTAAGAAATAAATTCAGAATTGGCAACGCAGGCAAAATCCAAAATCGTCATGCACAATTTATGAAACCTTCCTTCCCAGAGCTTTATCAACCTGCCCTTCAATTTCTAAAGATTTATGAAGTCTAAGAATTAATTGTTCAGCTAAAATCAGCTTTCAAATGTGGTACAAATAGTGAGGATTCACATCATCCTGTTGTGTAACTGAAATCCCTACATGTTTCTTACTCTGTTTAACATGCCAATGCTTGTCTCTCCTTCATCATCGTTGTATATCTCTCTTACAGCAAGGAAGTCAAAAACTGCAAACAAATACAATCACTTAGACAAAATCATCCTGATATCCTTTTTTTTCATTCATTCACGGGATGAGGGTGTCACTAGCTAGTCCAGCACTTATTGCCCATCCCTAATTGGCTCAAGGACAATTAAGAGTCAACCATGTTGCTGTGGGTCTGGAGTAACACGTAGGCCAGACCAGGTAAGGATGGCAGTTTCCCTCCCTAAAGGGCATTAATGAACCAGACGTGTTATTCCAACAATCCACAATGGTTTTATGGTCTTCAGTAGGTTCTTAATTCCAGATATTTATTGGATTCAAATTTCACAATCTGCTATGGTGGGATTTGAATTCAGCTCCCCAGAATATTATCGGGGTCTCTGGATTAACAGTCCAATACCACAAGGTATTATCCTCCCCATTATCTGCTCCCTCATCCTCATTTATACAACAATCATCCCTCGACATGCAGACCGTAATTGATTCCCAGTCCAGCAATGACTTGTTTTAAAAATTTCACACTTGTTTTCAAATCCCCCTCCATGGCCCCATGCCTCTTTGTAATCTCCTCCAGACTTCCGAGATATCTGCACCCCTCTAATATAGGCCTCTTACATATTCCTGATTTTAAATCACTTCACCATTGGTGGCTATGCCTTCAGTTATCTAGACCCTGAAATTCCCTCTTCAAACCTCTCTGTGTCTCTACCTCCCCTCTTTCAAGTCACTCCTTAAAACCGTACACTTTGAGCAAGCATTTGATAATCTGTTCTTTATTTCCTCATCTTGCCCATTCTCAAAATTTGTCTGAAAAATTTTCTAAAAAGGTACCTTTAGATTATTTTATGATGCTAAAGGCTCTATATAGAGAAGAATATTTCACAGTTAACCAATTACAGTGTAAGAATTTCTTTTAGATTGGTTTAAAAACGTTTATATTTCATTACATGGATTAAATGCTTGCTTCCCTTACTTGAGAACAATCTAACACAGGATGAAAATGCAGAATCTAGACACGAACAACATCTGAATGTTTGAGAATTACAAAGTGTTGCTGCAGAGGGTTAAAAAAAAGTCACATTAATGGTACTGACTCATAAACAAGCAAATCAAATTTGAAACCTTCCAATATCATTTGCTGTCCTGGACATATATTGGGCAACAGACAAGTTTAAAATATCTGTGAGAAACCGATTGGAATCATATATGTTGCAACATGATGAAAAAGATATTTGGTGTTGGTATCATTAAATATTTTCTCTGTTATTTTTGGCTATGCCACTTTTTATGCTGCAGATTCAAATATTTAAAAATAGGTCAACATACCTTTAGCAGTGTTACTATGGAAATAAATATACGTGTTCTTAATTTGGAAAATTAGACAGGCTCTATAGCAGCCTTGAAAAGGGAATTGAATGGAAAGTTGAGGGAGAAGAAATTGCAGCAAGATGGGAAAAGAGCAGGAAACTAGACTGCTTTTCAAAGGAACCAGCAAAGAATTAAAAGGGCTAAATGACTTCATTTTGTATTGAGCTACTGTTTGATTTAAATTCAAGTGCTTTCTACTCTGATCAGATTTTGCCCATGATTTGGGTGCTCCAAACAACAGCATTGCTTAACCACACGATGTTGATTTCCTACAGAAACAGGAGGAAATTCCACCCTGCACTTAGCTGCAACATCTAAAAAAGTATTCAAGCAAAATGGAACGGAAGGAAATGAGAAGATATGACCGGGATTTTAACATGAGGTAAGATGTTTACTATTTCTCATCAATCTCTGTGGAATTTCAACTGTCACTTCATCTTCTATTTGTTGTAAAAAGTACAAGGTACATAAATCTAGTTAGGTTTCATTACAATAGCAATGTTTTGCATTTATATAACACCTTTACCATATTAAAATGATCCAAAGCACTGAACAGGAGTGATTATCAAATAAAACATTTTGTCAAGACATAAAACCAAAGGTTTGATAAGGAACTAGGTTAAGTAGTGTCTGATAAAAGGACAAAGAGGTAGAGGGATGCAAAGATTTAGATTTTTAGTGTTTAGGCAGCTGAAAGCTAGGGTCCTAATAAAAGAACTATGAACATTGGAAAATCACAAAAGGGT